TATCGCAGTCCACTCAGGGTGTTTTCTTCTCTAACTAAATTATTATGTTATTGCCATGAATCTGGCCTTAAAATTAAACAAAGCATTGCTTTTACTTACAGGCCTATTCAAAAACTAAATCCTGGAAGTTTGTTTTTGAGATCCATGTGACAGCTCAATAGACATTTCAACTCACCAAAAATGAGAAACAAAACTTACATACGACAACTGGGTCATACATTGGTTTTGAAACTTGATGGTTAATAAGTTTTAAGTGGGAAGCAAAGTTGCCCTGCTGGAAGGGGATTTCCACCAACCTGGTAACCCAAAGTTGTTATTACTAATGAATGTGCTGGGATTAACCCTCTAGAAGGCCCAGGGGCAAAATGTTTGTTGTTCAAGTGCCCATGTGGGACGCCCCGACAACACGTGAGTAGCTTCACTAATTTCTCCAGGACACTCACAGAAAGAGCCAACCAGGACTCTACAGTTGAAATGATGAGTTTATTGACAGAATGTGTTTGGGAACAATTTTGATAAATGATTAAATTATAAATAAGTTTTCAGCAAAATGCCAAACAAATTCAATGGTACCGACATGCTAAAAATCTGAGTATTTTTTGCTTTTCCCACAGTTTTGTCCTTAATATTATAGCGAGAGACTCAACCATCTACAAGTCGAAAATAGCGGAACCAACAGTCAACCTTGAGAATTTAATCCGAGAGTCTCTACAAGTGGAAGGAATAATTATCAACAGGGTACTTTTGGTCAATGATAATAATTAATCACTGATTGCTGTATCTTTAAACTTCTCGTGATGCATCGAGAAATAAAATAACTACCAATTGCAACGCGTGAGATGTTGCATGTTAGGCTCGGTTAGTTTAACTTCATTTGAGCAAAGGACCCATACAAGTCTGCTGAGCCCTATTCTTCTGTTTGCGCATCACTTTCTCCGAGAAAACAACTATAACGACAGAAAAGTCATAGCAGCAATATGCAGAAGTTGTGAGTATCTATTGTGCGCCTTATAAAAATAGACTAGACACAGAGACCCTCTTCAAGACCTTGGTCCCACAGGACAGAGGATGGCGGACGCAACCATAGAACCCTGGGGCCTTCTGGGGCCCGCAGTACTTGAGAGGCACGTAGATTATGGTGATGGCTGATATTTGGGCTAAAGAGGAACAAGGGAGTTGGCCTCCAAGTCTGTAAAAGAGATTCGTTGATTCTATAAGTTTTTTATCCATTCATTTCTAAAGAACCAAAAGAAGACTTTTCTTTTTTTTAGTCTAGCAGAAGGCATTAAAGCGCATTTAATGTAATATCACCTTATTTACCTATCACCATACACTAACTACAATCATTGACTACTTGCAGTTTATGAAATTAGCCATTGCCTTAAAATGAGTGTTGTTATGGCGAGGTATAAGAATTATATACAAGTCTAATCTTCATTTAAGTTTTATGATGTATTAATTTTATTATTAATTTAATGCTTACATTAATCGTTCATGTTAATCTCCTGTGTCTTAATATTGCGTGACCTTTTCATTGTTGTTGATATAAGGCTCATTTATTATGAACACGGTTTCAGGGTAGAGGTCTTTCCGCGGTAACGGTACAGAATTTGTCAAATAGCCCTGCATGGCATTGGTTGACAGGATAAGCTAACGATATTCGGTTATCAGCGGAAGCCAGCGGTGGGACACTGTTATTCAGCCTCCTGAAAAGAATTAAACTGCCAGAATAAGAAGTCAACTCCGGGTGTCTTTCCTTCCACGTTTTGACCTATGCTCGTCTACAGCCCTGCCGAGAGGTGCATCTTCTTCACACATTTCACTTGCTCGGTTAGCTAACTACTTAACATTACTCTTTTGAAAATGGCGGATGTACCACCGAGAAGAGCCTGGACGATTTCTTTGCCAAGCGGGATAAAAAGAAGAAGAAACGAGAAAGGAGAAGGGCAGGAGTCCCGCCCGCCCACGCCATGTCGGCTGTGATGATAAAAGGACCAAAGAAGGCAGAAGGAAAAAATCGGACGAAAAACGAGAATCACATGACGCACAGCAGATTTGAGAAGGTAACCAAACGCCACTCTCCGTTAACTTTTCGCCTCGCAGCAACGTCTTTTCCACGCCACCAGTGTCTCGTATCAAATTTTGTATCCCCATCAACACATTTACCCCGCATGCCTATACATTTAGCCTTCTTGCTGAACAGTCGCAACGAATTTCTCTCAATTTAATTAAGAAAACTACGGATAGATGCTGTCACAAATGAGGTGTACAACGCCGTTGCTAGCTGTAGCATATCTGTTTAACCCTGGCACACCTTTCTGACGGTAACACAAGATTGATCTTCCCAGTCAGTTAGCACGTCTTTGATGTTTGCTCTTTATCTTGCGCACCGCTTATGGTATGTGAGTCGAGCTGTTTCAAAGTCGTGGTCATGAGCGTAAGCAATCAACATTTAAGACACCACTAAATGTAGCTATTCACCCTGACGCTGCGCCTTGTGTCTTGCATGGTAGCTGTCATACCCCTATTTTGATGATCGTGGCTTTCCAGCTAGGCCGAGCGCGCCCATTCTGGCATGCGAGCATGTACACAGTCTGTCTAGAAAGGAGGAGGGTAAATCAGGAACTCTAAATCGATAGAGTTTAAAAGACAAACTGAGCTGCTTACACAACTTATTTTGACTGGATATAACCTCCAAAAATGATTTTTAATAGAGGAAACTTTAAACTGCTGTGATTCTAACTCTTTGGAGGCACAAAAAAGACACTGTCAAAACTTGAACTGTCATGTTTTGCGTGATTTCAACTGTAAAAAAAAAAAAAACACTCACGTCAAATCAAGCCTCTCCTCAGCAGTAAAGCAGGCTTATAAACAGATTAATGAACTGACGTCATATTCCCAGGGCCGGAGGTCACTTGACCAGATGCAGCACAAAGAGAAAATTCCAGCTCACTACATCAATAGATGTGCTGCGGTCAGCAAGACTGTTTACACTGCTTTGTTACATAACCAACAGGTGTGATATCTCACTCGCACGTACTGTAGGTTTATTGCTTGAAATCACTGTTTTGGACTTAACTGTCCAAAATCAGTCAGCCATGGCAAAATATGAGGAAGCGTGCCTGTTGATTAAATTCAATTTTCAAGAGAAGAAGTCAACCAATCAGAATAGTCAGTGTTTTTTGTTTGTTTTATTGCTCAGCAGTAAAAAGTACAGTGTATACTACAGTACAAAAAATACATAATGTTGAACACTGCTCCACCGTGCCACTGAACGTTTTGTAAAATATCCACTTTTTCAGCGTGCAAAACAACAAGCCCAGCTGTGAGCATCCAATGCAGGAAATATCAATATGTTTAACCGTGTTATTCACCACCACCGCTTGAATCAGTGATTTCAGAACAACATCGCACAATGCAGAAAATCTTTAGCGACAATAGAGGCAGGCAGCATTGATTATTGAATAAAACTGCAGCAATGCAAAGTAAAACAGAAGATCGAAGGACCACAGGTTCGATAATTGAACAAAATATTCAAACGCCTCTGTATGTGCTCACAGTAAATATTCAGCATACATTTTTTGTCTCAGTGTTTTCATTGGTCAAGATTTTTGAGAGCCTCTAACACATATTATGTGGTCCAGCAACTGATTGACAATCATTCAACATTTCAACAAACACAGTTGGCATTGCATGGACAAACACGTTATTTATGGAGGGAGACACTTCTAGTAGCAAGGGATGGTCTAATCGTTTCCTACAGTGCTGAGAAAATCTTTCTCAAACTGGGCTATAACCAGTAGCCACTCCACGATACAGACAAGAGACAGACAGACAGAAAGACAAACATACAGGGGCACACACACAAACAGACACACACCGAGAAACAGATCAAACGCTGAAAGTGATACAAAGTCTTGTTTGACTTAAAGTAACAGTGATATTTGGTTAAGGGGGCAGCACATTTCAACTCATTCGTCCACCCTTACACACTCTACTGCACACTCACACAGTATGCTTACATGCATGAACGAGACATTCACACATACACATACTGATATATAAAGGGCCAACATAAAGAATTAAGACATCTATGTGGTCCCTCCTAAGAGAAGCTGGTGACACATGAGGGCGAAAGCCATTTTAAGTCAGCTCCATTTGACTGACAGATGCACCATCATTCATAACTGCAAGATGTAGACCCCATATCATCCAAATAGTCCACTCTAATTAACCATTAAAATCTGGGCTCGTATTTATCAAACTGCTGAGAAATAAAACTTAAAGTCCTTCACTTTTACTCCTTCTTTCAAACTTAACAATAAAACCAATTAATCAGTTATTTTATGACTTAAAATGCTCTTAACTTAAGGAGAGGTCCTTTTAAATTGGTTAAAAGAGGTGACCTTCAGCCTAGAAAATGTCAGTACAGAGACGCAGCTTAACACACACACCTTCTGTGTCATGTTTTAAAGTGACAATATCATCGTCCATGATGAAAAATATGCTAACTCTATAAGTCATAATCAGGTAGGTTTAGACTAACATTTGCATATGATAGGATGTTAACCCAACTTTTCTTTACTTTTCCTGCATTTATCATCAGGGTTGCAAACAACAAACTGGCTCTCATATTGCTTTGCAGCCACTTTCCATGCATCTTCATTGTCTGCACTTGTTAGTGTGGTACTAAATTCTTCTTATTATATTATGTTGTCTCTTATGTACCTTCTCTAGCATCAGCAAATTTCTTTCTTCCTCCAGTTTTGTTATCTTTTTGTTTACATTTCATCCCATTTCCTATTATCTAATCCTTATACATAGTACATATACAGTATATCCTGTACTTGTAACCTTTTTCAACCTGCTTTTAATGTCAGATTTTATGTTTTGTTCTATTCTGTCGCTCTATAAATAAAATATATTATTACATATCATTATTATTATATAAAAAATATTGTATATTATAAAAATATGAGAATATTGTCCTTCAGATTTTAATTGCTACTGGAGATACTAAAAAGGATTTTACACAAAGAAAAAGAACTTTAAAAAAATCAATATCACATATGCATACTAATATATCATTGAGGAAAATATAAGGATGTTTTCTAAAGAATGAACAATGGGGCAGATGTAGGTTAAATCCTTGTCTACGAGAGTTGTCCATGACGGTTACCACTCTCACATTTCAGTTCTCCAACTTGATGGCATTTGTAACTTTCTTAGAAGTTTGATAAATACAGACCCTGATTTCATATACAGTATTTTGCAAGTACATATTTTAGGTGCTATATTCAAGTTCAACAGGCTATAAGTATTTTGGGATTGATTTTAAAAGGAAAAATAAAATTACAAAGAACAGCTTAAATGCTTCGATAGCACGTTTCTCTCTCTAAAGCAGATTTCGTGTGGCAACATCCACAGTGCACTCACCATCAAGCCACTGTAAAGAAACAAAACCACATATACTCTGTATTTTATAAAGACAATAAAAACCTTTTATCACAATTAAGCCTTTTTTGTAGAAAATGTACATCAGAAAAATATGCAGGTGCATCCTCATAGTAAATAGTGTCTGTTTACATCACTCTCCTTTCAGGTTGCTCTTTGTGTTTATAATATACAGTATAAAGTCAAAGTCTCTGAATATTTACCACATATATAAAATAGACAACAACAGCAGGGGGAGTAGGAGAGAAGAATCCAACAGTGTCTCTCGTTTTCTGTCTCTAGATGGCAGAAGCTTTGTCTCTGTTGATGAAGAGGGTCTCCTGGCAGAAAGGGTTAACCAGGACCACACTGCTGCCACTGTAGTCTCCATTAGGGGGTAGACAGGTGTCATGCTCCTGCAAATGCACACACATACACGCACGGAGAGAAAATTAACGCTGGTTGCTAACTGTTAAAACAATAGCTGTGATTCCCCATTAAGGCACACGCTGCAGTCTACTGTATCTAAGTCAGTCTACAGGCGAGGAGCAGCGTCAGACAATTTAGTGTGGAAAGCGAACGGAATAAAAAAATATAGGTTTTGTGCACCCCGGGGCTTTTAAAGGCGATAGTGAACAAAGATATCTGACAAAGCTAGATGAATAGAGATGTAAAGGGAGGCAGAGGGGAGGCAGAACATGTAAAAGCTTCGTGATTGCAGAGACAAAAGGGAGGGATGATTCAGAAGAAACAAGGTAACAGAGGGACTTAATGTGTGTGTGTGTGTGTGTGTGTGGGGGGGGGGGTTGTTTATGGTGAGTCAGCAGTAATGAGGCAGTGCCGGAGGAGGGGGGGGGTGTGAAAAGCAAAATAATTTGTTTTACAGCGGGAATGAGGCCATTTTATCAGCAGGATCCAATCAAATCAAATTAATACTGTCATTTAAGGTTTAGGATAATTTCCCCCAGAGCTCTCTCATTTACCTATAGCACCAGGGAAGCTATAAGGCTGCTGCTCTACAGAGACAGGAAAAGCAGGGGAAAACAACACCTGGGTGTCACCAGGGGCATCCTATACATGATCCAACCTCAGCTTCCCTCTCCTGATGCCCCCACAGGCGGCAAAGGAATGCAAATAGTGCAACGGTCGAGGGATAAAAGAAAGGAGACACACAGAGTGAAATGGTCACTGGACAGAAGATGATAACAACCATGCAAACTGAACAAAGCAATGATTAATCAAAATGATATCAGAAAGAAGAGGAGGGAGATTGCAGCTTTAACACTTACTAAAAATCCCTATCACTGTCATATACTACAACATCCAACAGATGGTGCTGTAATGCACCAAAAAAACTGCACGAGCTGTTCCACAGCTAGAATCCATTATCATTGGGCAAGCATGTCAACCTTTGGCCTTTTAAAGTAATATGAGAAACATTGTCTCTTTATGAAGCCAAATCATCCACTAAAACTATAGGTTAAATAATGAAATATGTTAAGAAGAGCACAGTCACAAAATCATAAATATACAGTACAATATACAGTGCATAAAGTGCTAAACTTTAGACAAACTATGGTCAAAGATAGGATGGACGTACTGTGAGATTTACAATCCTGTAAATAGATTTTAAATATGTACAATTTGAGGAGGTAAATTAGACATAGATATAAAAGACATTCCTGAAGGGCAGCTGTGTTCTTAACAATGACTTCGTGTCATTCAGTTTAAGAATCTTAAATGTGCTTTTTTGGCTTTTTAATGATTTTACAAGATTTTTGTTGTGGCGAGATTTCCGAAAAGACAGAATACCCTGTATCGTTTCTGATATGATCACCCAACCTTCTGAAACATTCCCCTTTTGAATTTGTGGGTCTGTTTAATACGATTTGCCAAGTGATCATCTTGTTGCTGTTGCTGTCTTGGGAGCTCGTATCGACTGGGCACCTTTTGGTGCAGGACACTCAAACAGATGCATCAATCAATGTAGACCGAGGGAATTGATAAAGACTGTTAACCTGCAACCTAAGATGACCTGTGTTTACAGCACTGTATGTTGTTTAACATCTAAATCCACTCTCATTAATTCACAATGAATGAACTAATAATTTACTAATAATGATCATCACACCAGCTAAATAACGCCATATTACTAGCCTGTACCAACACATTTGGTTGGTATAAGAGTTGGATATTTTGCAGAGAAATTGCATCAAGTGGATTTGCTATTCTCTGAATTTAAAATACTAGATGTGAAAAATCAGAAGGATCTAACATTTTCCCTGCAGGGGTAGCATCCCTATAAATCGTAGTAATACAGTGTCATGCTCAAGTGCACTTCAGCAGGCCTCGGGGCTTTGCTGACAGGGAAGATTGGACATTGGATCCTCTTGTTCTTTCCATACTCATTAAAACCATTCTGCTGACTGATAGTGAAACATCAAGTAAATGTCCCACCACTTGAGTGTGCAGTGTTGTATACTAATAGAGACACTGTGCCAGTAGTTTGTACCTCGCTCTCCAGAGTGTGTATCTCTCTGGGCAGTTCCACAGCGTGCCTGCTGAAGTAGTCCATGGTGATGGCGTTGTTCCAATAGCTGAGGTTGTTCTCCTGACTTGACGACTTCTTCTTCCTCCTCATACAGCACACGGTCAACAGCACAGCTACAGCAGGCGGAGGCAGGAAAAAGGAAAATGAGGGTTAGTACAGTAGTTGGAAGAGCTGCTGCTTCAAATAGCCTCTGGAAGCGCCCACGCGAGCTGTTCAGGTAGCGGCTGTCATGATTCTGGAAAATATGCCACTGGTAGAATAAACTGAGGTGGAAAGAAAAAACATCCACCAGGAATTGCTTAGAAATGGCTACTGGTGATGTGCCTTGTAGTCATTTTGAGTTAAATCTGAAACAACTATGCTGTCAGTCAAAAACAAATGGCAGCTACATATGTTCAGGAATCATACAAGAAAATAATATACTTATTTTCCATCTCTAACGAACCGCAAAGCAAAATAAAGTGCCAAAAGGGCTTGATACAAAAAGACTCTTGGTCCTTTGCTTCCATTATGCTATTGTACTGTCTCCAGTTTAATGCAACAAGATCAGACCTTGAAGGTCGTCTGGTGTCTGTCAAAAGAAAGAAAGTTCTCTTAAAAAAAATCATCTTTACATTTTGAGAAATACTTTTCTTTCTTTCCAAGAGTTAGATGACGAGACGGATCACTCTCTTATCTGTCAGTAAAATATGAAGCTACAGCTAGCAGCCAATTAGCTTAGCTTAGCAAAAGGAAACAGCCGACTTGTCTCAGTCCAAAGGTAACAAAATCTCCCATCAACAGTAATGAACACATTTATCTTGTTTGTCTAATCCTTACACTGAAGTATAAAAATGTCAAGTTGTAATTTTACAGTGGGTTATGTGTTGGACTATTTCTTCAGTCTTTATGCTGAGATAAACTGTGGTGGTGTCGATCTTCTCATCTAACCCTCACCAATAAAGCAAATAAGCCAGTTTCTGAAAATGTCAAACTATTCCTTTGTATAGGACTTTTTTCAAAATCAAGTCAAGGTCAGCCAGCTGCTCTGACTTTACTTACAACAGGAGGACACAGGCACGCTGATGGCCAGCACAATCCACACAATGTCCATCCTGCTCAAGCAGATGGTCATGCGGGACGGCGGGGAGTCAACGGTGGGGCCTGAGCTGTTGCTGGGTGTCCAGGGCTCCTGGGTGGTGGCAGGCACCTGCCTGTTCAGGAAGTTCCTGCTGGCTGTGGAAGGGGCCTCCGAACTGTTCCCCCGAGCAGGGGGCTCCTCGACTGAACTGCTGTTAGACAGCAGCCCTCCAGATGTAGTTACATTCCCCAACGAGCGTCCCAGAGGGGGATTGTCTGTGCCGTTACCTTGAACAACCTGACCATGCCCCTCCTCAGTGGTGGTGTCACTGGGAGCAGTGTGGTTGTCTGGGCTGACTGTGGGAATCTGCGTTTTGAGGCTCGGCGCAGTGGACAGGGCTGGAGTGGACGCAGTGGAAGTTAGATTCTCTGGTGGGCTCTCGACTGGGGAGACAGACCTTGCCTCTGGGTCTACCACCAGCCCAACAGTGGGGGGCTCGTTTGCCTCATGCACCTCCCTCAGGGTGATGGCGTGGTGTGCAGCCACCTCTGCGACACCCTGAGCATGCTCTCTGAGTTTCAGGCCAAGCGCAGGGTCACCATCTATTGATGAAAGGGACAGTGAGGAGGGGTGCAGATCTGGAACATGGTGGCTGGGGTAAGTGGGTTCCTCCACGCTCAACTTCTGAGGCTCTACATGGTGTGCGGCGAGCGTATCTCCTCTGTCTGATCCAGAGCTGGACATAAGAGCCAGGGGGTTTGGAGCACCTCTGGCAGTAGATTCCACATCTATATTTGGGACCACTGTGCTGAGAAATTTAGGGCTGCTGCTGCTGGCCTGGTTAGTGCTGACTGTAACTGGGTTATGGACTTGAGGTACCCTGACCAATTTGTGCATGTGGCCTTGGTTTACAATATCAGAGCTCGGCTCCTGGGGCTGATTAACCCAGCTTTCAGTGCTCACAGTGTTCAGGGCGACACTATTTGTGTCATGAATAGGAGGATCTTCATGGGCCAGGCTGGAGGTTTGGGTGGTGTGAAGCCAGGCTGACGTGTGGAAGGCGACAGTAGGGAGGATGATGTTTGTGGGTTGAGCGCCACCTTTGGATGACCACTCCCCACTACTGGAGCCTTCCTGATGCCAGTTCAGGTGCGGAGGTTCGGGGGGAGACAGGGGGTTGCTGTGGGCGGCTGCCATGGAGACAGAGTCCTGGGACGTCTGGCCGAGGTACAGCTCCTGTGCTGATGACACCAGTCCTACTAGCAGTGCTAGGAATGCTAGAACACCTGCAGAGAAAAAGACAGAAAGCTGACAGTTAGCACATGATAATAAAGAACATCCTTTAGCTTCATCGTGTAAGTGTGTATTTTCAGCATGTCGTCCACCAATGCATCGTTTCTCCCACGAATCCCGCTTTGCATAGCGAGACAGGAGCGCAGCACGGAAGCTGAAACTGACGGCTCATGTGTTCAGACGAGACACGAAGCCTTATCTGGCATTCATTGCACCCTTCAGCCTTTAATCTAATGAACCACTGTGTTTGTCAGTCACCTAGTTTAACTAGATTGCTTTATTAACTGCATTATTCACTAGACGGGTTCCACTGTGTGTAACCATGCACGGATGAGGTGGCAGCTGTCTCTGTCTTTAGATGCAGTTCAAGCAAAGCAGTTTTAAATGCTTCAGTGAGCTCACTTTCCCCCAGGATAATAAAATAACAAGGAATTATTTGATTTTGATTTCCAAATAACACCACACAAAAATCACTGAAAGTATAAAATGGGATGAGATTCATTATTTTATTCCTCAGCCAGCTTTAATAATTTTGTTAATTTTCCATATTCCTTTGCTATCAAGATCCAGCATTGCCAAAAACATGTCAGTTCTCCTGGCCAGTAAGACACAAAATGACATTTTTACAGTGAACACAGTTGACAAACTGTGGCTATTTTGACACTGTGACTATTAGTCACAGTGTCAAAATAGCCTACTTAGCATGCTAAACCATTTCAGAGAGCCTGACAGATTCTCTTTCCTGAGCTCAGTCCCATAAGGAGGCTGTGTAGTGACAAGCCATTAGCAGGTGCCTGTGGGGAATATCGGTCCTATTATGCTATCCAGACAGCAAGAAAGTCATAGAGGGAGGGATGTGGAAGGGTTTATTAATTTCCCCTTTGCTCCCTCCCCTCCATCCTTTATTGACACTGTTAAACACGGCTAATGTGACACATTAGCGGAGCTCCCATTGAGTCGTTTCTACGCATTCAGCTGAGAAAAGAACATGCATTAACACAAAGCTGCCATCATTTAAATTCCTGTCTGAATGAGGTTATGTAGCATGTTCCTGCCACAGGACGATAAGCTGAAGACAGTGTGAGAATGTGAAATTAATGAATTTTATTATTGTTGTTATTAACTTATTGCTTAAAGCGTGAGGCTGGTAGTAGCCTGTACTTTTCTGATTGTCAACAAATCCTATGAAGAGACCAAAACCAACAATGCGTTAGCTTGCCTCTCAACATGTTTTGACTCCTCAAACCTGTCTGTGGCACTCAGCCCCAAAGCAAATCATTCCTACTGAAGATGAAAATAGGTCACAAATAAGCTTTGCGTTTGTTTTGTTTTTTTTTGTCATTCTTTATCAAATGTAACTCAGACAGGAAGAAATAGCACATTCTTTGGGGACCATTTTCAGCTGAGGAGTAATACATTTTTGGTTTGCTTCTGAGCGTTTATGGCAGCAGGCCTAAAAAGGATTAAAAAAACACCAGGGTGCCTGTGTTTGCAGTTATGAAAGAACATGCTGTCCAATGGAGCTCTACGGCAGAAAGGAATAAGATATATCAGGCTTTGGCTACACAGACAATACCTGTTGATAGGATCAAGTTCATTGTTGGTTTCACTGTTTTTAATGGGATTTGTTGAAAATAAGAAAAATGTAGAATATTGCCGGCCTTATAAAGAATGCTTATACTGAGCTGTGCAGCCGTGCAGGAATGCCAAAGGCATTTATTAAAGACTAGTTTGAACCCCCCCCCCCCCATTTTTAAAGCTATTCAAGAGGATGCATAAAAGCCACGATATATGTATACTGTCAAGAAATATATGATAATAAGCAACAGTCTTTCTCCGTGGTCCTGGATGAATATCTTGTGTCAAAGAAAAGCCTCAAGACAAAAACATTTTTTAATATATGGACGTGCAGAGGTGGGTATTCATGAGGTTTCTAGAATTGAGGGCTCTGGAGGGAAAGAATTGTAAGTATAGTGATCAAGGCTGCATTGTTTTGACAGTCATAAACCCCCCCTAAAAAAAACAAGAGTCATACAAAACACACAGTCTAAAGCAACCCATGTGACCTAGATGTTGTGGCCATCGTTTAACTACGCTGCTCCGTCAGTAGCTATGGAAACCAAGTTTCCATTTCCAAGAGAGAGGAGAGAGGAGGAGAAGGAGATGGGAGAGGAGGTGGGGAGAGAAATCTGTTGAACATCTAAGAAAAAGGGAACAAAAGTAGCAGCTCGAGCATTAGTCAGTATCAGTAATCTCTAATTTTCTTTACCATAAAGCTTCTCCCTCTCTTTCTTCTTTGTTCGCTGGGGGATTTAAATAACACCACAGCAGAACCCTAAAGCACTGACTATTTAAACTCAGCCTCTGAATCATTAATCATATTCCTCCATACTCAATCACACAGACTACCAGGATAGAGGATCCGGGCCCTGTCTTCCATTAACCAAGCCTGTCACGTCTCTAATCCATGGAGCTCCACTCCAGACCCATATGTGAGGAGATAACACACATGGTCATCCTTGATTTATGACTGCTCGTCTTTCCTGAGATGATCCTTGAGGCAGGGAAGCGGAGCACAGACAAACCCAACCTATCAAAGCTCAAGTGTCTGGGTTATTGTTGATCATTAGTAACGTCACATTAGGGCAAATTCTGAGGATAAAGCTCTTTGAATCTGAATAATAAATAAAACGACACAAAACTATAGGTATAATAGATTACATACTAACTTTTTAGATATGAAAGGTACATCACATGTCACTGTAATGTGGAGCCTTAAAGCTGCAAGCAAGGGAAAGAAATAATTATGTTTTTCAATGCTAAAAGAAGCAGATAAAAGAGATAACAGAGGCCATTTAAGAGCGAGGAAGATTATCATGCTGTGTTCCGGCTTGAGTCACACCTTCAATCAGTACCCAGAACCTGGCTGTCACAAGCAAGCAACCCGACACTCCGCTGCTAATGAATAAAACATCACACCCAGACTCCTTTTGCAAACTAAGTTATATCAGAAATGAGCTAACTAAATGCTCAGGCACACACACACACAAACAGGAACACATTCTTCTAATTTGTCCAGATGATCAAAAACTAGGCAAAAAAACATGTGGTTTCAGCCTGATCTGTAACCAACATGGAGATTAATATTTATTTAGGACTTTGCAGTTTAGTCATATCATATTTTATTAAAGATCACATCTAAAATGTTAAAGGGGAGGTTGGGACTCTCGCTTTTTAAGTTTGCTTGCACTCAGACATCTGACTGCACATATATTCATTAGTGCTGAATTTGTAGTGAGGATAAAACAGGCCATTAAACTCTGTTTCAGATGTCGCGTTGGGTTCTTAGGTTAATTATTTTGTATGTTTTTAAGTGGGGACTCTTTGTTTGACTTTGGCAGGAATCACTCACTTGTTTTACTTCTTATTTAGCCTTTGACGTCCTGCAGAGTTATACAATAGCTAGCTATACACAGGAAAACAGGCTTTAAAAAAGTAAATAAATAAATAAAAAAAACAGTGACAAGGCATGGTTTCTATCAGTGGCCCTTAGAAAACTGCCACCAACTGAGCGGCTCAGTTTGCTTTAATTGACAGGTCTAATAAATAAAAAATAAACAGGACACGGAGCAGTAGCTTCTCTAGTAAAAACAGCTTCTTAAATTTTTATCTAAAACATAAAAACAGCTTAAACAGCAACTCAAATACAAAAATACTAACTAGCTAATTTACTGAGAATATCCATATATAAGCTATCATGACATTGTGGCAGTGTGTCGTCCCCCCCCCGCTGCTGTGAGTTTGTCCTTGATTGTTTGTAGACAGAAACACGTCCATTTTGACCTGTACAGTATCTGTTATATTGCTGAGTTTCTGTGTGTGCGTGTGTGTGAGTGTGTGTGTGCGTGTGCACGCAGGGATTACATGTGTATCCGTGTGTTTTTCCACATGCACTGTGTTGCACTCTGAGGCAAATGGGTGTAATTTGTCACAGCGTCTGCGCGCCTGGCTGATGGAGTGAGAGCGTAAGCAGGGTGAACACAGACAGAGAGCCTGGCCCTGCCTCCACAAAGACATGCAGCTGAGAAGCAGGCGCAGAGAGTGAATTAACAAGAGAAAATGATTGAAAAGGCCCAAGAAGCGAACTGAGCTTCATGAACATCCATTATTGAGTCGAAGCACTGGGAAGAACGTGAGAAAATTGGATGGAAAAGGGAAAGAATAGTGAGGGCGGACAGGGTGAGAAAACGTGCAAAGAGGAGGCCAGAGCCAGAGGCGTTTCATCAGTGATAACACATGGACAAAAGCAAAAAGGCCGGATTAGACACATTAGACCATGGACCAAAAAGGACATTCAAAGGAAAATAAGGTGTGAGAATATAGTAGGCACTTTCTGAAACATTTGTCTTGCTCAGCAGCACCTATCTAATCAGCATGAATTTTTTTTCCACTATGGTTCCTGTTGGCTGTTTTTGGCCTGACATGATATTTTCTCACAGGCACGAAAAACACCCACAGAAAGAGTCAGACTGTTTTCAGTAGTGATGACGCGAGGGACGAGGCACACAACAAGACTTTTCTGGATCTTTTCTCAAAGGAGGACAAAAAAAAAAAAAGGCAATAACTGGTGTGAGTAGATTTCAGTAATGACATTGAATAGCAGGTCTTTCTCTTTGTCCTTCTACTTATCGGCTGGGAAGGTGACACGCAGCAAACATTGTTATCACTCACACCAACCTGTTGCCCTCACTATCTGTATCACCCAACTGATCACTTCAGAATAGCACATGCTAATATCATGGAGACAAACAGCACCAAGGTACAATTACAGTGAGATTATACCCTTAGTTATTTGACTAATGGCGTCAACCTGTTTTCCACTAACTAAGCTGAGGGTGTATGGAGGGAGGGGCTATATATGCAATAAACCTGCTGAATTAGGTCTCTTTTGAATGAATAGGAAGCCGGTGACATTCGTTGAAGTCCTCCATTG